AATAAAAGACAGAGAAAGTAATGGTGTGGGAAATCGATTGCCTTATTATGGAAACCATTACAACCGTGACCAATCTGGCTATTACATAACAAAATACTATTAGGCTTAGATAAACAATGGGGTACACCCTAGTCAGGTTGCCAGGGCAACTCAGACACACCATAGGCCCATCACCGTAAGAAAGTTTGCTGGACGATTAATTGTCCCAGAAGTTATTAGGACAAATGATAATATTGTTTTGAGACAATTTTCAAGTAACATAATAGCAATGGGATAATAATACAAGAAAACATTCACAAAGATCAATACTTTAATTTCTAACATTCAACAAAGACATTTTAAATATCCTAAAAAAAATATGCAAAACAACAAATAGTGAATTATGAGGTCTGTAAATACAATTATCCTTAAAGAAAAGCCTAGATGAGACCAAAGAACCAGACTGAAGACTTTTATCAGCCAGTTTTTGGTTGATACCCCCCCCCCTCAAAAAAAAAAAAATCATTCATTTCCATCTGCATGGAAATGGATGAGCTAGTTTTAATTGATCATGCATTCAATTGATTTATTGCAACAAGCCTAATACACAAAACTAATGACTTGTGATTATAGGGATCAGTAATGGCTCTGGGAAGAAAGAAATAAAATAAACAGAATAAATAAACAGAAGCAGCAGCTCTGATGTGGCGCTGCAGAAGAGCCCAGATAAATAAGCAAAACAAAGCAACTTGTCTTTGTTCCACTGATGACCAGCAGGTGGTGCAACAACAGAACACATTGAGACACTGGATGAGCTCAAACAGCCCTGCCACTGGAGGTAGGAGCAGGAATGCAACAGGCAGTAAGTGAGCTAAGGTCAGGGGTCAACCAGCTGAGTTTGGCAGTGTCGGTACTGACCCTTGGCGCTGAAGTGTGCGTGGGGAGGCCGTGGTGGCGTCGTGACCGTGCGGCTTCTCGCTGGACAGCGACTGCTGAGATGTGGGCTGGGAATGAGGCGGCTGCTTCACCACTGGCGTGCTCACCTGAAACGCAAGTTGGAAACGATGCGTCAGCACAAAACGCCGACCTCAACATCACTGGGATCAGCTGGTGTCACTGGTACTCTACCTGAACAGAACATCAGATGGCGCTGTGGTGTGGTTAGCTCCCAGCAAACACATGCTCTCATGTTTGTGCTAAATGCCACTTTGCATAATCATATCACTATTTTTATTTCTTGTAAAGCAAGACAAAAAAATAGCACTTTTGAGTGTCCTATAAAGCACTGTATGAATTTGATTATTATTAGTTTTCGTCTTTAAAAGCAAATGAAACTTATGAAAAGGCATAAAAAAAGTGATGTTTTAGTGACTTACTTTTAAAGATGCACCAATACGATATTAATATCGGTATTAGTCCCGATATAGAAAAAAAATCTAGATTGATGACATTATGTCTGACCCATAATGGCAGATCTATTCAATTTGATTCTACACTTTGTAATCTGAGCAATATCATGCTTTATTATTTATTTTACATTATATTCAAAATTCCTAATTGCGCTTTCTGAATCATTTGAAAGGTTTGTTGCAGTTTATTTTTACATGTTGGACCAACGTAGTCAAGCTATTATTTAGTCAGTTTCAGTTTCTTTATCATTTATTTTCCATTGGCTGTTCTGCTCCTAATTCCACTCAGAACAAATTAAAAGTTGTTGTTTTTACATGTTTGACCAATCTAGCTGGCTTATGAAGCTATTGGTGTTTTGAAGTGTGCTGTACTGGGGCAGATATATCAAATCAACTTGTAATACAACACATTTCTGTCTGTGTTTAAAAAAAAAAGAAACATTATAAGTCAATTTCGCACTGATTTGCTGTATCAGATAGGTAAACCTTGGATATCGGAAGTAAAGAAAACAAGAAAAAAAACAAAAAAACTACGTGGATCCCTACTTACTTTTGGTTGTGAGATGACGGGCTGTGCACTGAGGTGAGACTTTAAAGGGCCGACGTTCGTCTGCGGCGTGCTGATCCTGGGCGACACGTAGGATCTCGGCGATGAGGCATCTGACGTTAAAGACATCGGTGACTGATTTGATTGTTGAGCTTTTGGGAGAAACAGAACCGTAAGGGACCCGCAACGAGCCGACAGTGCAAAAACAAGAACTGGAAGCACGGCGCTTCATTCCAGCTGACGTTCAACTTCCTTCACCTTGGTTGGAAAGCTGAGCAGCTTGGGAGAGGATAGTAGTGATGTTGAAAGCCGACGGTCCAGCTGTGAGGATCTTGTGGAGCATCGACTGTAATGACGCTTGTGTGACAGCAGCTGTGAGAACTACAGAAACGAAGAAAGAAAAACCACAAAACATGTTGGTGATGGATTAGTTTCTGAACCAATTTAAGGAAATTGTGACCGACTTATCGGTGCACTCCTTACTTCTCTTTTCTTATCTCTTTTATAATAATGTCGCCGCTACACTTTGTGAACTTCAACATCTCAGCTGCTAAAAATATAGGCTACATCAAAATTTGGCAGTAAAAGTCTACCCAACAGACCAAATCTGCAATAAGGAAATGTTCTCAGTAAGCAGTGGTTATCTGGTTAAACCAGCGAGTTGAAGATGCTGCCATCACTGTTCTGGTCTGTGGTCACTTAGATAAAGACAAGTCACATGTGAGCAGCATTTTCATGGACTGGTCATCTGCTTTTCACACAGTTCAACCCCACGTTCTTTTAAAGTGTTAAAAAAAAAATATGAATGCAAGTAGTAATTTTATAATTCTGATTATAGAGTTTTTTTGTTTGTTTTTTTTAAAGATGGATCACAATGAGATTGCATTAACATTTATTCCCAGTGTCATGTCTTAAACACAGGGGTTCCGCAGGGCTGTGATTTATCCCCTCTGTTATTTAAATATAAATGAGGTAAACTACAACACAAAAGCTCCTGGATAATAAAATATGCTGCTGATACGACTGATGAAGCTCCTCTGCAGGATGCTAAACACACTACTATCAGCAACTGTCTCGTTGTCAGGTTGCTTATTTTAAATGCTACACAGTAAAAGTCTTACCCATTGGGTCCAACAGACTTCACTTCCACTTCCATGCAAATTATAACCGGCTTCTGGCTAATTGCTGTTTATTTACTTTTTCTACATACAGCAGTGCCAGTGATAAAAAAAGGCAGGTAACAATGCTAGGTTTATAGCACATAGAAAACGTGTCAAGCGTTTTAGTGGTTCATACAAGTTAAACGCAACTATAAAGGCCCAGATTTATTCTGCTTTTAGAGATTTGCGTTGAGTGAGCAGTGAGACTGATGTGAGCGCATACATCTTTGTTAATAAGGAATAATGTGTGGCAGGTGCGTTTACATCTCAACACGCTCGCTCAATGTGTCTGTTCTGGCAAACTGATAAACAAATTACACCACCAGCCAATCACAGACGGGTCCTTTTCATCCAGAGTTATTCTTTACAGATCTACATTCATTCACTTGGAAAAACAACTGATCCCAGCCAACACAAAAACAGCAAGCGTTATTACGTTAATGAACTGATGTCACAAAAATTTACTATTTTTGTGACATTATTTTGTAAATCCTACAAAACAGTAAGATTTAGAAAAACACAAGAAAACTTAATGCAATAAGTTTTGTACCCAAAGAATATTTATAAAAATATGCTCACTCCTCCTACTTCATGTTTTATTTTATGTTATTACTTTTAAATGTGACCAGCATTACATAGTTTGTCTTATGATCCCTTGGCTGATTAATTAGGATTAGTATTGTTGATAGTAACACAATTACAAAGTCAAATTTCCTGTCAACTTTAAGCATTAACACAAGAACATGGCAGGCTGCTGGTGGATTGGCCAACGCCTCTACCACCGGGATTAGCAAGTTTTCTGGGGGAAAATCCTGAAACCTAAGGGTCAAAATAAAGTTTCCCTTATGAGCAAATTAAGCCATAATGCCACCAAGCAAAGGCTGACAGTGGTTTAAGTTATTTACAGAGAGTAAACATCTTGGAACGGTAACTGTTCCTCTAGGCATGAAAACAAGCTGAATCAGGGGATCAATGAGGACAGGAAACAACTCCCACCCAGATCAACCCTTCTATAAGAAAGCTACTCAGTTCGATGAAGACAGCTCTCATTCTACTCACTCACTGTTTTCATATAACAATAATAATGAATTATATTGTACTTTTCAAACTTACTGAGGAAAAATCACTTCCATTAATTGGGAAAACTATGATTTCTTCTCATTCACACACTACCAAGCTGCACTATGTGGCACATTTTCAATGGATTTCATTTGACTTGTTAAACTCTCTTATTTTAGCCACATTTCAACCAATCACAGGAGTGACTGAGCTTGAACAGGAAGTTATAAAAAGTGTAAAACTAAATCACTCATTCCTCATTAAGTGCTTGATTAAATTGCTCACCAAACAAATTTGAAGCGCTAAGAATCAGCCTTCCTTCCTCTAACTGAATCAAACATGCCACACCAGGGAGCTTTTCTCATTTAAGACATCAAATACACAAGCTTTACAACTCGCATTATTTCAAGTTAGATAGAAGGCAATGGTGTTAACTCCAGGGTGAAAACTAATGTTTTAAACATGCTACTCTTCCACTTGCAAAGCAAAAAGCATCACAGGAGACGTTTTGCAAACACAGGCTAAACGACATAACATAAAATTGCATCGTCAAGCTGTAACTTCTCTCTTACCCTCGTTGATTTTTGTCATGTCCACGTTGGCGTTATTGAGCTGCAGGGCCGTCTGAAGCGCTGGGAGAAGCTGGCGGAGCAGGTTGGGGTCCTGGAGGATGGGGGGTGTGGAGGACTGAAGGACTGGGGAGACGGGCACGGTGGACGCCGACGAGCCCGGTGGCGCCGATGAAGGGTTCACGCTGCCCGCACCCGAGGAGGATGACTGCGACTGGCTGGGAAGAGCCGCTGAGGGCTTCTCCGCCTGAGTCGACTCTGTCGGGAGAGAAGAGGAGGAGTCTGGTTCAGGCCACCGTCTGCTGATCCACACAGATAGAGACTGGAAGACTTCAGTTCAACTGGTTGATGATGGTGGTGCTAAGGGAACAACACCAGCACCACCACATAGCATAATCAAATAACTAAGTTACCTTCAGTAGTCATAAAAATGTTGTATCTACGAAACATAACTTAAAAGAAGTTTGACTTCGTAAATTAACACCTTGAAATTGGGCCTCTGTCACTTTAAGAAGCTCCTGCTGTTTCTGAAACTCCGCCTTCAGGAAGTCATTACAACATGGTTCCTCTATTAACCCTTTAACAACATTTTTTTTTCCACCAGGAGTTTGTTGATTGCTAGTCAAAGGAGCCTCAAACATGGTTCTCGGTCCACTAAGATGTTTCGAACATTTGAATGGTTGCTGTGGGAGATTAAAGGATTTCTCAAACATGCATGAAAAAGAAAAAAAATAAAAATCAATACAACGCTCCAAGCTCATCATGTTTTTGAGCTTAACATGATGTAAAGCTTAAAAAACCCAATTGTTATATAATACTGCCCCTTTAAAATTGTTGATAGAATCCACAGTAAGAAAAGAACTTCTTCAACAATACTATTCAAAGTCAATGCAAGCAGTCTGACTTTTAGCCAAGTTGTTGCTTCAGAAACACAATCAGCCTGTTCTTGCTTACAGAGGCTCATCTGAACCACCAAGACAGTCAGCTGCAGCTGGAGCGACCTCAGAACGAGCCTCTGGGACCGTTTAGTTGAGAAGGTGAAGGCTAAAGTTCTGTTCTGAGACAGTTATGAGGAGTTTGGGCTCAGAGGCAGGAGAATAAGAAGAGCCCAGAGGCTAACGCTTAAACCAACACACTAACATTTGAGAGCAACTTAAAAAGGACAGCCTGGCTCCCGAAGCTGCAGCGGTGAAGGAGTGGACATACCGTTGTGACATATAATTATATATATTATAACGGGTGATATATAATGGTATATATAACCTGTTTGAAAATTAGAAATGAAAGAACAGCACAGTTATGAAATTAAATCTGACCCTTATGCATTATTTGTATAAAGCAAAAAGGTCGCCGTTACTAAAACATCTGCATCATTTCACATCTGCTGGGATTTAGTTGGTAAATGTACGCTTCTGGATCAATCTGTCGCTAACAGAACAAACTAACAAGTTGTGGAGAACTAAGTCAGGAGTCTTTGTACAGCTGGTTCTCTGATTTCATGTTTGGGTGGTTGTGTGATTACGTCACAGATTTACACTGAATGTCCAAATTCTTAGAATGCCGATCGGGGAAACAGCTGATGCAGCTCTACACACTAACTTTTTGCACAAGTTGCACCTCTCTTTCAGTGAATTGCGGCCAATTTTTTTATTTATTTTGCTTTTACTTGCCACCAGTAACATTAATCTTTAGACCCATTTTTTAAATTTACCATACGTAGAGTAAATAGGAATGTTACGATATACATTTGTAGATTCATTTGGATCAGCAAAAATGTAACATATACTCAAAAAGCATCATTTAATACAGAACCAGAGTGTAACATGTTGATTTTTTTTTTTTTCATACTCATTATTACTTCCATATTTGTAGACAGTTATCAATTTTCTATTTGGCTTTATGCAAGCTAAAAACTGGATTAAACCCCATATTTGCAATATTTCCACATTTTAATTCCACTTGAATTATATAGCATCACTTAGTAATCCATCTAATTATTTTTTTATTTACTGTACAGAGAAATGCAATATATGTACAGAAATGGATAATCAAAGCTATTAAAACACAGAGTGAAATGAAACAACCTATATGCAATTTATCTCCCTAAAAAAATGTAGTCAAGTCAGATCCAGCTTAAAATGCCAACAGGTCAAAGGTCATCAATTTATAAATAACTTTGCACATTTGATGTTTTGTGCAGATTTGTAATGGAAACACAGATTAAGGTGCTGAGCTCAACTCTAAACCATCTTTAAGACAAGATTTTCTTTAACAAAATGTAAAAGAACATGACTTTCTTTGCTTTGCACATAATGTTTAAGTTTTTTTTCTCTCAAAATAAATAAATAAATAAAAATCATAAACTCCTTGTAAAGTCATTCAGTCCTTTGTTGAACCACAGCACTGCTATCTGTGAAACCTGAACAGTAAATGTGAAACTCTTCAACTGCTTTCATTCACTCCATAATGACACACTTTTTGGATTAATAAATATTAGAAAATTGAATAAGTGGAATTTGAAAAATAATAAGAACAGATCTCACACTGTAGATTAGAAACTGAGATCACCTTACCACAGCTGCTCTAGAAATCTTCATATCTGTAGAAAACAAGACCCTGCTCTCCAAACTCTAAAACCTGAAGCCCCTCAACGTGTGCTCAGAGTTTGTATTTTAGTCTGTTGACACACGGTTGTACTGATAAATCCAGAACATAGCAGCTCGTCATGTTCACTGATGTAACAACACGGCCAGCTATGAGTAAGAACCTGCTGAGATAGAGACCGCTAACTTAGTGAGCTGGTGTGGAGAAAACCGTCTCTGAAAGGGATAATCAGTGCTGGACACCATGTGGTAGCCGAGATTTAAGTGTAGCTTAACCCCGTCTCTGAGAAGTGTTTCAAACAAAACAGATGACCACTAGAACAGGAAGCTAGGTAGTTAGCTAGTTTGACAGAAAGAAACCAAGAGGAAACCTAACAACTGATTAACTGCACTGGGCGTTTTCATGGGTCGTTTCCATACATTATATGTCCTGATGCTGAACGTCTTCTCGTACTCCAGGAATGCTCTTTTCACCTAGAAACACAGATCTATGCCCAACAAAACAGCAGCATCCAGAATGCTTAAATTAACAGCAGCCACATTTTACAAAACAGCATTAATATCTGATTCCTGTGGTTTCAAAGCCGCCACTCCAAACTGTGTGGAATCGTGGGGGATTTTAAATGAGCTACACTCCAGACTGAAAGGAGATCGGAAAAGAATGCTGCATTTAGAAACACAACAGCTTCACAAACCTTTGAAAACATCCTGGGATCATTATGAAGTGAAGTCTGCAGAAAGAAAACAACACACACATGCCACATCCTAAGCAGCAGTGTGTCTGCTCTGTTCAAACTTGAAATCTGTGAATGATCAAAAATCCAGAAGAATTGTGATTCTGATCTGTCCCTTTAAGGATAAATGCTGTAAAAGCAGCCAAACTTTCTCAGTCATGGCTGGGATTCTACATGCTGAATCCATCATTAAATTGTCCCAGAAATGATTGAGATAATATTGTTGTTTCAAGTAATTTAAGAATTATAACAGTATAATAATGCAAGTTTCTCCTCTCACAGAACAGTAAATAAAACATTTTGTAAAGAACTTTCAATACTGGAACTGCAAGATATTTTAAATGATCCAAACTAAACTAAACGGCCAAAACCAATAAATAAAACTGCTAAAAACCACACAAAACAAAAACCATAAATTAAATATATTAGAAAGTATCAAACAAAATTGCCCTTCAAAAACATAATCAGAGTGGAAATTATTTAACTTTTTTTTTCTATGTTTACCTTTATAGTTTGTGTTAGTGGAAGTCATAATACCTAATTACCTGGTGATAGTTTCAAATTTCCTGTAAACGTGAAACTTTATTAACTCAAAAAACACATTAGGCCCCTGGTTACAGTTTAACCCTTCTAGACCGAACACGTCAGCAACAACAGAAAAATGTGCAGTACGGTAATTCTGTGACACTTTGCATTATCTGAAAAATAAGCAAAAAGATCCAGGCAGAGGTTTGAAACTTAGGACTCTTAAACCTCTAATTCCTTCAGTCGACAGTTAACAGCCCTTGTTCCCACAGTACAACTTCTCTTCAGGTCAGTCAAAAGAGAACAGATCAACTTAAAGCAACATTTTGCCCAACTAAAACCACCAACTCTGAATCGAAAAGCAACCTAAAGGCGAAACCTAGCATACAGCTTGGTTTGAAATTGGACCTGTCATCTTTAGAAACCTTGAAACCAAACAACATGGGTTGGATAGTGGAGGTAAAGTGTTTGTTATGAAAACCAAAAAGAACCAGCAGTTCTTTCTGCTGTCACAATCTGAATACATCACCGCCAAAGCAAACCGTCTTCAACAAAGACTGCACAAAACAAAGCATCTGTGATGCAGGCAAATGAAAGATGGAAAGCTCGGCGTTGCAGAACCAGACGCGGTACCTACTGGGTCCGGTGAAGCCGGGGGCTGCCGTGGCTTGCATGGCCTCCCTTCTGTAGTCCCTGTCCTTGGGGAAGCTGTTGACAACGGCGCTCTTTGTTGCCTCCTTTTGCCTCTGTTCTCTGCCAAACACAAAGCAACCCGCGTGAGCCGGCGACCGCGTGTGACGGACGGGACGCGCAAGAGTGCCGTGCATCCGTCGCCGCGGCTACCTCTCCAGCCACTCTTTGGGCTTCTCCCACTGGGACACCTCCGTCCTGCAGTTGTAGTAGTATTTCTTTCCGGAGGAGCTGATGTGCTCTGACCAGTCGTCGCCAGGCTCGTAAGGCTGGGTTGGGAAACGCAGAACCCAAAGGGCAGCGAGAAGAGAGAGAGAGAGAAAAAAGGCAAGAGTTCATGTTGTGACAGTCTGATGCAAGAGGCTGTAATATAATATGAGAGAAAAAGACTGTTCCTGTTACTGCTCTTCAACTTCAGTTTACAACATTCAGGATTTTCTGATTAAGATGTCATTTAGGTTTGTTTTTATTTTGCGTCAAGTAATAAAAATGTGTCTGAAATTTACTGCAAAGTGCAAAAAATGAAACTTGTTTTTTTTTTCTTGTGAAACTATGCACTTAGAAGTCATTACTGAGATAAATTCTATAGTGGTCTGTCATCGGCTCTCGAGCTCCAGCAACAATACTTACTGTGTCTGATGTCTTGCTGGGGTTAGAATGTGAGTTGGAGCTATGGAGGGAACTGTGGTTGTGGGAATTTTCTTGTGGAGAATAACTGGGTCCTGCAGCGAAACACATTCATCATGAATGACCGGGTCCAGTGAGGGACAAAACAGCAACACAACGCAACACGATCCAGCTGTGGTGTATTTAGCTTTATACCCTGTCCTTTCTAAAGCTCCCCGCCTTAAGCATTTCATGACACTGTAGAAATAACCTGTCATTTCATCTGCATGGTGGTGGATTAGTGCCACTGCAGATGGGGGTGGGGGGAGGGGGGAGGAGAAATAAACTTCTGCCAAAAAATAAAAAACTCAAAGAAATTTTGTGATTGGTCTCAGAAATTTTGTAGAACAAATTCTGAAATTTTGAGTTTAATCACAGAATTTTTTTTATAGAAGAAAAAAAAAAGGAAGGAAAAACAAACATTTCTGGGTTTTAAAAGTCAATTTGTTTTTTAGTTTTTAAAACTTAAATTTCTGTGATCTCTCAATTTGAATTTTTTTCTAGCAAATGTTTCATTTTTGGAGCTCAGAAATGTCCTTGATTTCTCAAGAGAATTTCTGACATTGATTTCCAAATTTCAGAATTTTTTTGGGGCAGAAACTTACGCCTCAATTTTTTTTCTCATCTACAATGGCCCCAATACTCATCATACTTTATAGATGCTCTACCTTTCATTTACTTAACAACAATTCTACATCACATTGCCTTTATTTCTTTACATTTATTTCACACATTTATTCATCTTTAATTCAGGATGCTACAGTAGAATCTGTATTTTTCAGTAAGATAAGGCAACAACCAGCTGCTTCTCTCACACTAAAGACACATTTGAGTTTACACCAGCCCTGGAACTCCAGTTTGTTTGTCTAGGAAGTCTGGTTTGTTTGTGGACATGCAAAGAATGCGTAATCAAACTCTGATTCAGACCAAACAACAGAACTCTGGTCCACCTACAAACCTGGGTCTCCGTTTGATTGAAGTGAACTCTGGTGCAGTTTGAAAGCAAATGTGAACGCTAAGCAGACTGGAGACCGCTCCAATGGTAGGAAGCGGACTAAAGCGCAGGGCATTCTGGGTAAACACAACCAAAACAAATACGAGGGTCTAGTGCTAGCGGGAGAAATGACTCAGACAAACAAGACAAAAGAGAAATCCTCCAACTCCTAAAATCTGATGCTACTCCATTTTTCTTTACATTTTGTGAAAAAGGAAATTGCGTCCAATATCTTCTTTGGAGGGTTTGTGTATCATTTCCTTCAGTAGTTCTTGGTGCAGCGCCACCACAGGCGAGGAGGGGAACAGGTTTTTCAATTTGGTTGGTTTGATAGTGTAGTGAGAAAGAAAGCAGCAGCAGATGAAAGTGGAACAAATGTTGCAATTTTGGCCCCCAATTGAATGAAGCTCCAAATCTGTTTTCCTTTTATTTCTAAAGCCATCAGATAAATCAATAGTGAGTACCTGAGAGTGACAATTCCTGTCTAGGTAGAGACAAACTGCATTAAATCCTGAAGCCTTTCTGACTTCAGGTTCCAACTAGTCTGGAAATACTAAAAATATTGCCAAAACCTTTATTTTCTCATTCAGACATGAAAAGCACTCTAATAAAACTTTATTCTTTCCAGACTATGAAATCTAGAAATCTATAGAAATTTACACAGAGCCACACACGCTACTGCCTCACCATCACTGGACCAAATCAACCCTGAGCTGCTGCTGCCGTGTTGAGGATGAAACTTATTTTATCGATGTAATCCTCACAAGGGCTTCAGTTCACATTCCATTTATCCTGCTCTGCTTATTTTTGTTCAGTTTCCATCTTTCTCTCATGTCCTTAGCAAACAGCATATGTTTCTGCTACTTATCAAAAGGGGAACTACGTCAGGTTTCAGAATGAATGGATAAAAGCAATGTGAAGCTGGCAGGTTATGTCGTTGTCAAAAGTGGCACAATTAACCAACTTTGAGATAAAACTGTCAATTGTGCCGCTATTTAACAACATGCAAGCTTCTGGTTTCAAACTCCATATGATGAAGCATCTTCAGATTCGATTGCGATTTTTAGGTTCGCCATTCAATTCAGAAATTACTTTTGTCTCGTAATTAATTTTCCTGAACAAAAATAGTTTAGAGATTCTGATTAAATAATGACTTACAATAGTAAAGAAATTAAACATTTAAAACAAATTTATAAGGTTCCATGTGTGTCCTAATTCAGGGTCTGCAGCCTTCGGAGGACGGTGAAGGCTGCGAATATCGAAGACCAGGAGAGAAAAACTGTGAATTCGGACAGGTCTAGCCTTCTGCCAGCTGTTTAGCCTCCACTTCAGTGGAACTTATGTTGCCTATTCAACCGTGACAGCGTGAAGCACAGAGCGGCAAAGGAAAAATAACAGAGCCGAAGTTTGTTTTTTAGCCTCGCAATACTCCTGATATCTGTATTATTTTTCAACTTTTGTAATAAAACCTGTTCCACAGTGAAAAAGAAATGTTGGTTTGATTCTAAAATGTTCAAACGTGTATAGCACATTTCTACAAGGAATGAATAGAAGGAAATTATTCATTTTCATTTATAATACTCTCCAGATGTCAGATAAGACATTAGTTAAATAAAACTATTACGTTTAAAGGCTCAACTTTAATCAGTCAAACCAATTTGCTCAGAAATAAATTAGATACTTTAGTAAACCAAACATTTTACTACTAGATGTTATATGACTGAATAATATTGGTAGTAGTGTCATTTAAAGTGTAATATAGTAAAATAATTTGAAGCTCTTCACTGCCATTGCAGCTTTGCCTGAACAACCGATTTGGACCCGCAATGAATTATGGGAAACTATGGGATATGGTGGGCTGTGAAGGATACACCGGATCCATCCTTCAAGTCTGCAGAAAAGAAGGACGCATTTGGAGGAGTCTTTGAATTCAGACAGGCCTCGTCGCTGCAGTATGACGTAAGCAGCCTACAAATCCGTCCTTCGAAGGATGCAGCCCCTGAATTCGGACACGACTTCTATCAAATTCACCAGTTTGTATTTAAACAAAAGCAGGTTTGTGCACCAAATTCAGTAACTAAAATTACCAGGACTAGGTTAGCTTAGCTAACTGGCTTTTCTTAAATAAAAACAGAAAATAAAAAAAAAATTCAAAGAATTATTCAAAATAAATACGGCAGCTGAGTGGACGAGTAAAGCAATACGCAGTATACTCGCAGCAACTTAAATGCATTTGAAAATTGATTTTGGAATATTCTGAATCAATTTGGAATCCCCAGGACAAGGAGTTGCAATATTTTTTGTAAAAGAAAAATTTTTTCTGGACTTCTAATAAGATATAGAAGATATCTCACAATCTACTCTTGTTAATGGGCTGTTCTTTGTCAACCAAAAATGTCCTAACATCTGACTGTTTAAAATCCAAATTGCATGTCATGTAACAGATTACTGACGTATAGAAATCAATGTTTTTCTGCCGTGTTTTCTATGGTTGATCAAACCAAACGCACTCCTCCTCAGAGAGAAGAAGCTGGTCAACAGGAACCATGGACAGAACCCTGACCCGCTACAAGATCTCTGATCGACTCATTTTTCTGATTGTGTCGATGTACACCTAGAACAGGAATATCCTGCAATACTGTTTATGGTCTAATGTTTCACTACACGCTGTCAAAACGCCCTCCACAACAGTTGCTTTAACAACACAATTCTAAAAATGTAAAAGTGACTGTAATTACATGGGAATTTAAAGTCATTGCCAGAGAAGCAGCTCTGAAATGGCAACAATGCTGCAGCTCATGTGGAGAGCAGCTTGCTCTCTACATGAGTGATCCAGTCACAGAAAACCGAACATGAAAGCCACAAACTAAACTTTGATCTTCTGAGCCTGATATTCTGATTTGTGCAAATACTCAGGATTTTTATAAGATCTTAATTTTATTCCAGCAACATTCATGAAACAAAAAAGTTGTTGAATCTAAAACAGCAGTTCTGGCTACCTGATTTTATATTATATATATATATATATATATATATATATATATATATATATATTTTTTTTTATAAAAAAAAGAGGATTAAGGATTTCTTTGGGGTCAATATTATTGCATAATTTCGGTTTTAACTACAGGTTCAGAAAAAATATTTTTTTCATTTCAAGAACAAATGTTTTCCAAACTGACTTTTTCTCTTTCAAATCTCTTTTCTGACACAACATGAACTTTTTACTTTCATGAACATAAAAAAAAAAATCCTACATCAGTTCATCCCTTTCTTCCTGTGCCTCTGCTCCATCTGGCAGACAGACGGCCCGGTTCTGGTTCTGCTGGAGGATTCTTCCTGTTAAAGGGGAGTTTTTCCTCTCCGCTGTCGCTACATGCATGCTAGCTATGAGAGAAATCAAGAACACAACTCAAAGACTCTCTCCTGTGATGATGTAAACTGCTTCAAAAAACAGTAAAACGTTGGTCCTCCCTCAGCTGTAGCGTCACCAGCTGAAGTCACTTTGACAAGCTTGCACTAGAAAGTTAAAACTTTAAACCAATATGGGAAAATATTAAACCTTGGAATACAAACCACCAGTGTTGAATTTGATCAAAAACTTACATCAACTCACAAAAAAAGGTCTTGACTTTCAGCAACGTTTTCTGTGGATTGATAACAGGTGATGTAATAAAACACCAACCTGACTGACCATTTCTTCCCAGAGACATAAAACCAGTAGAAATATTACTGACCGCTCACGGCAGGAAGGCAACTTCTTTGCTAAATCTCACATTATAGCCTGCTGATGTGGCATGCTAGTGCTAGCTTGATTCCTCTCAGTGTCAACTGTTTGCTGGACTGAACTTAACGCGCGTCTTCTGCTTCTCAACACATGTCACATCGCACCGCCGGGACGACAAACTCTGCTCATTCATGTAAATGTGTGTGTGTTGGGGGAAACAGTGGACTCCTCTGTCCATGCTTTCTGCTTCCCGGATGTCAAGTCCTGCCAACTAATTTTCATAAGAATCGTCTTTTGCCCGTTAGATCATCCTCATGTTCGTTCGGAGCAGAAAAGTTATAGTTTTAGGAGTCATGAATGTTGAAAATTCACCTCTGATCTGAGGAGATTCTGTTCAAATATTGGCATAAATTGTTTGTAAGAGTTTCCATAATTTTACCGCTGTTTTTATCAATATGTCCCAGAATAAAACCTACAAATATGGTTCTGTTGAAGTTTTAGAACTTACATAAACAGACTGAACAATCTTAAAACAAAACACATATCTTTAAGTACAACACAGAAACGGTGATTAGACGTTTACCGACTAAACTTGAGTTATGACATAAAGTATTTTCAGCCTTTAATCTTTGCAATATATGAGTTAATAGTAATTCTGGTTTGAACTAATTTCCAGTATCAAGTCAATTTAACCAAACATCCAAAATTATAGATTTTGGATTTAACCCAGATTCAGACTCCAGAAAAAGGAACTTTAATTTATTTTTTCAGGCTCTGTCAATAACATAATACATGCAAAGACCATCGTACCTGTATGAACATGCATTGCCTGCAGCCACATGTTACTTTTCCTCCCCCACCTCCTCATTCAAACAATGAGCTCCAGTTGATTTATGAATTAAGTGTCTGCAGAAACGTCCAAATGAAGCTGAAAATGATAGCTGTTCAGGAAGTCCACACAGCGCCTGGAGGAAAGCCCGGGTTAACGAAGACGACGACGTACGTCAAACCACCAATTAATTCTGATCTGGGTGTTAAGAGATCGCTAGCGGAGCAGTGAGGAGCCCTGGCTGGGTGGAATTTACCTCAGCTTGGCTCAACTCAAACTGCAAGCATGGCTTCAACAACTTGGATTACAAATAAACAAATTTGAGAAAATGAGAAATGTTCAAGCCAAATAAAACCAAAACCAAATAAAATAAAATAAACCCGTCACATTAACAAATTTTGCTGGACGATAAAAGGTCTCAGCAATTATTGCAATAAATGATACTATTGTTGTTTTGAGACCATTTTCAAATAATATCACGATAACTTCGTAATAATGTAAGTGTGTCTTCTCAAAGGTTGAGAAGCTTCCACATTTTAAATATTGAAAATAAAACACAGCAAACAACAAATACAACAGAAATAAAATAGATTATGACATCTATGTAAACAAAACTGCACTTCAAAAAATAGACTGAAAATTAACGAGTTCAATTTAATTTATCATGCTTAATTAGTTCAACATTTGAATACGATTCCCTCCTAAAAATTCACATTAATTACTTCCCGTTCAACTCCAAGAGATGCTGCAAAACTCAACAAAATTCTTAAAAAGTAGGTTCATCTGTGGAGTTTTTTCCCCCCAAAATCTGTTCTGTCGCCTACCAAAGACAAGTGGAATCAGTCACTTCATCCCACTGCGTTGGTGTGTGGCTTTAAAACCCCCCGAACTTGTGTGTGTGTGTGAAAACATGTGTGTGAACACCGTCAGCCATCTCACCTCCGTCCCGTTCTCTGACGCGGTGTGTGTGGACAGCCTTCGCCCTGCTGTGGCCCGTGCCGTCCGTGTGTTTGTTCTCCGGGCTGTCGGACCTCCTGAGCATTTTGCAAGGAGGGGTGACCTCTGTGGGGTCGCGCGTCTTCTCATGGCGGTGTTCCCCTCCTGGATGGCTTTTGGATGAATATTTGAGAGTCTGGAGACACAAAAAGGAAGGAGCTCACTGTCATCTGGTCATCAAAGTTGCAAACAAGGGTTCCAGTTGTCACAGCGCCCCAGCCGGCTCAGTTATAATACTTTTAAATCAAGTCTAGATGGTTGTTGAAACACAGCTGAAGCAAATGGATTTACAAGTCTGATACCCAGCCGTTCTCACAATACTTAGCCCGGTTTCTTTAGTGAAGAGAAGAGCGTTGTAAATTTTAATAAACTCTGACTGGTGAGCATCACTTTAACTTTTACAAATCCACTGCTGTTCTACAAACCTTTGAACAAATATATTTTACCTTATATCAAACGCAAATATCATGTTTTGTCATGATTTGTTTTGTTTTTTTTTTAAATGTCTAAAAATTAGGATGCTACAAGCCACAAAACATTCTTAACATCAGAGTCCAAAATTGAAATAATCAAGATTTCTTAAAATATTAGACCCATTAGCTGAGAGTGCTATTATTCTAGTTATTTTTTTTTTTACTTTTCCACTTATATTAGTCAATCACATATTAACAGATATTGTTTTTTTCTTTGCAACGTTCCTAGTAAATTATGAATCTAAGCCTTTTGAGTTTATCTCAAATTAGCAGCTTAAATGATAGCAACCTAATTAACTCTTCAAATTTGTTGCAGATCTAGGCGTAATTAAGCGTTTTCAACACTTAAATATATAATTATGATCGGCTAATTATATAATAGTAAAGGTAAACAACATTTCAAAACACTGACGACGAATTGCCTCTACTGCCAACTGAGATTTTTTTTTGTGTGTGTTTTGGTTAGAAAATGTTGGTCTTAAGAAGATATTCTTACGACTCCTGTGTTAAAAGCTAAGCTGACTTTATCCTTAAAATGACAGATTGCGGTCGGGCCCTAATCGGAACAGCTAGCAAGAAGGCTAACACCACCAAGCTATCGTTAGCTTTGATCTGCAGTAAAACTCCCTCTGCCCTTTCCCTAAACCTCTTCCTTCGACGGACTCATGTCCGTATGTGTTCTATTGACATTCAATCGTTTGCGTTGTGGATATTTTCCATGCTTTGTCCCTTATTTCGGGTAGCATGCCCACTACTTTTTCGCGTTATTTTCCGCACCGACTGAGGCCCGTGCTTTCTAGAAGCCCGAGCTAGAGTGTCCATTTTAATCTTATTTGCTGCTAGCGAGCTAGCAGGCTACGGATAGCTAACAAGTACCTGATAGGGCTGAGAATCTCTTCGGTCGCACCTGAAAATAGAAAACAAAACAGTAAAGAGTGAGGAGCTTTCAATGCCAACGTCGAAAAACGACTTTACGAGCCTGCGGAAGCAGCACGTTCATGTTTTAAAATACTTATTTTGGTTTCGGCAAAAATGGCGGATTGTCAACGCGTAGCTACGAGGAAAGGGGAAAAAAATTAGAATAAGTAACGTAAGAGAAGGATGTTTACCCATCGCCGAGTCTCGGTTGTTTCCTTGCATACATTACCATCAATGCCGTGTTAGTGTGTTTAGAGTGGGATGTGAAAGACTTGGTAATGGCACTATGTTTTCTTGTGATTCGATGACCTGAAATCGTCTGTTGGTATATAGCAATGCTATCGGGAGCGCTGGTCTGAAGAGCGCCCTCACTCAGTCCATCTCCCACTCTGAAAACACAGCTCAACCGCTACCAGCGGAACAGAGCAGTTTAGCTGCGAGCCAGGTTGCCACGTCGGAGACAAGCACCCACATGGGATCACCTTCAGAAATCCAGTAAACGTGCATCGTGGTTTATTAATACATCTAATAACAAAGTCCAAATGTTTGCTGGGTACCTTAAGTAATTCTTTATACATGCATTCATGAATACAATGCACATGGTAATGCCGTTTTTAAATTATTATTCTTACAGCTGCAAATAAAATACGGTAAGATATGAGTATATTGTGGAAACTTAAATATAAAAAAATAAATAAATGTTTTGTAATTGGTTACAGTCCAAACTGGATAGCTAGAAAGTACACTGTAAGAGCCTCAAACGTCAATTATGGCAAACATGGCAACCTTGTTCCTGATAACTCATAACGCCCCCTCTGATGTCTATGTACTGATTTAAAACAGTATTTTTTTTTGAAAAGTTTAAATCAACACATTTTACTATTAATTATTTTTCAATTCCGTTATGACTACGAGAAAGAATACTTCTTATATAATTTGCAAAAAACGCCGAAAACAGATAGTTTCTGGTTTAATGAATGAAGCTGGCAATGAGGTTTTCCACTCCTGACATCTAGCGGTGGGATTGTGACGTTACAATCAAAATGTGTTCAATGTTTATTGAATTTAATGAAATATGTATACACTTCACTAAATAATTTTGTAATTTATAATAATAATAATAATAATAATAATAATAATAATAATAATAATAATAATGATGATGATGATGATTTATAATTTTGTGAAGACTTCTATGCATCCTGTTTTCTATTTTGACATATCTGTTAACAAATGTATGAAAATAGACAGAATTAATTCTATTCTGAAAGAATAAGTTTCAAATGAGAGCTGCTTGTCATTGTTCACAAACAATGTATCTCACATCGTTTTGTAGGTTGAGAACAAAAGACGCAATTGGCTCTGGTTCGCAATGCATTAACACGAGGACCTATGAATGGGGGTTGCATCTATTGTCAGCGAAATTTCTGCAACTTGCTCACACAGGCACACCGTGTCCTTCCCCACAAATCTCCTGGGATAACAATTAAAATTCTTTCTTTCTTTCTTTCTTTCTTTCTTTCTTTCTTTCTTTCTTTCTTTCTTTCTTTCTTTCTTTCTTTCTTTTGTCTATTTACATGTCTTAAAATTGAATCGAAATAGTCAAGTAATCAAATCTGCATTAATTCCTCAAAATAAGGTCACTGCAGTTTGACCACCTGTTGGTTTTTCTCCTCAGTTGACCTCTAGAGGGAGATATTTCACCATTTTGTAACTCGAGCGCCAGAACTATACAAATTGTTGCTGTCAATTAAATTGAGTTTATTTTATTTATTTTACAAATAGATATTATTATTATTATTATTATTATTATTATTATTATTATTATTATTATTATTATCGTTTTACAAATTCAATTAAAAAGTCTGCATTATTAATAATAATACATATTTTTTGAATGATTACACCGGCTCAAATGGCATCTTTTACAAACAACAAGTTACATTGTTGCAAAAGTTTGTTTTCTTTAGTCATATCGAGGAGCCATGCTAATGGATAGTAAAATCATCCAATCACAAAGAAAATGTTCTTATTAAGCCCACCTCAAATATATTTCAACCAATGAACGCTCAAGGTGGGCGGCATCTGAAAGGAAAACCCGTCACAACGCAGATCTGAGATCAGCTCTTGGAATAGGCTTATCTCCGGCCCGACGTTGTGTGCAAATATGCAAACCGCTTCCAAGTCAGCGCGTTGGCGAAACACTTTCTCTGCCTTGGGACAGTTGGAACCGTCGAGGCGTAACATTTTAAAAGATTTTTGTCCGTGGTAGGCTGAACCGGGGATAAAATAATGGAGTGGAGAGAAACAACCAGAGACTTTAAAAGTGGGGAATGAAAAAAGAGAACGCTTCGATTTTCGAAGGAAACGCTGGAGTTGCAATACTGTGAAGAAGAAACCATTCAGCTCTGATACAAGTGAGTGGCTTACACGTTTATTGTTTTTTACTTCTGAACTTATATTTGTAGCTTAGGACAGTGAAAGCAACAGATTTTCCCTGTCATAAAAAAAAGAAAGAAAAGTTAGTCAACGTTAAAGTTTTTGAATGTGAAGCTTTGACAATGGCTCAATAATGACGTATGTGATTTTTATTTGAGCGCTTATGTGATGCGGAGGCTAAAATAATAGTGAGCGAGCATTTATTCACTACGAGGTGACCAAATGCAGAACTTCTACTGCGTATAACATTTGACTACGTATGTGCAACAAGTACATATTGTTTTTACACACAAAATATGTATTTGTCTTTCTTTATGAATTTAAATTATCCTAAAAAATACAACATAAGGATACTATCGTATGAAACACGTAATGTCAGTTTCCCCATGACCCAGCTCTCTACTTCCACTCCCACACCCTTCGCGCGCAGTTCCTCCACACCAGGAAGTGCACCGGGAGGGAAAACAGAACCGTGGTGCCCTGTCGTGTCAAATGTGGAGGCACGGAGCTTGTCACTGGCTGATGACAACAAGCCTCTGACCGGTGTTCCTCCTATAGGATACTCAGCACTTGGTCATATTCCACCGCACCCAGCTACTTCTTCAAACAAGTTTATTTGTTTTTACTTGTTTTACGACACACACGTGGTTTCTGGATAGCGGCATTCCAATTCTGCATCTGTTCACCTGAGGACAACACATTTCAGCAGCGTCCTTGTTCCAACACACCTGATTCAAATGAGGAAACTGCCTTGTCAGCCTAATTCTCCAGAGGTCAGGTGTGTTCAGTGTTGCATGTGTTGTAATCAAGTCGAAATGTCTTGCATGAAACAGGCCAATGCAGATCAATAAACGTACTGTTTGTCATTATAAAAATAGTGTAATACAGATGCACTATCTGTTTTCAAACCTCAATTGATGGTTAACCTTGTACTGTGACTGCTGGTCCTTTGAAGTGTGTTTCCATCATTTTCAAATCCAGGCACCAAAATTCAGCAAGGTGTGTGTGTGTGTGTGTGTGTGTGTGTG